GAAACGTTTCTGCCTAGAATTGCCCTTACTATCAAGCTTACAAATTCCGAGATATAACTTGAGTCCGAAGGGAATAATTATAGAAATTCATGGCTTTTGTGACGCTTCAGAAAATGCTTATTGTACAGTCGTCTATCTGAGAACAATCAGCTCTGATTTTTCAGTGAAGGTTAGCCGTCCGATATCAAAAACCAGAGTAGCTTTCTTAAAAACCCAGTCTCTTCCAAGGCTAGCGTTGTGGGCGGCGTTACTTTTAACCAATCTCTTACACACAGTATTATCATACATATAATTGCCTATTAACAGTATTTACGCATGAACACACTCACGGGTGACATTAGCATGGGATTCGTCCGAGCCTTGCCGTTGTCTACCTTTTGTAGCAAATGGGGTTGCGAAGATTCAGAAAGCTGTTCCAGGTATTCCAATGGAATTATGTTTGTGGATAAGAGAATCCTGCAGACTGCGGGATCAGATGTCTTATTCCATCAGAATACTTACAATGTGAGTTATGGATGAAGGGACCTCAGGTGGTTAAAGAAATCTATAATTCATGTACAGCAAGATTTAAGTGCAGAATTAGAGAATGAGGGTATGTTGAAAGAGCTGAAAAAGAGTTTTATTTCAAATATTTTCTAATTTGAAGAGACTAGTGTATTTTCAAAGCTTTCATCATGGTTAAAGCTATATCGAGTGTTAGCGTGGTATTTAAGATTCAGGAATAATTGTAGTAAGTTATTCTGTTTAGAATCGGTAAACCCTTGAAGACATCATGTAAACTGTTGTCTTTAGATCCTTCCTTAGATTCCGCAGGGATAATGCGTGTAGGTGGAAGGTTCAGAAACGCTACAGTTTCAAATAATCAGAAACATCCTATGATTTTACCTAAGAATCATAATATTACGCATTTTATTATTAAGCATTATCATGAAACGCATCTTCACGCAAGTACCCGACTACTCATTTCTGTCATACGACATAGATTTTGGATTGCGGATGCTAGAGGTATCAATAGAAAGTGTATAAACCGATGTGTTATCTGCCGCAGATTTAGAGCGCAAAATGCAACTCAGCTAATGGCAGATTTATCCGTTTAAAGAGTTACTCAAAGTAGAGCGTTTTCTCATGTAAGGATTGATTTTTCAAGACAATATAACGTCAAATATCGTTCTGGTAGAAGAGTTAAAATCAAGTGTTATGTATGTCTATTTATTTGTTTTACTACAAGAGCAATACATTTAGAATTAGTGTGAGATCTTTTAACAAAATAATTTCTTGCAACACTTAAGAAGTTTATAGCACCATAGAAGTAAACCCTGTGAAATTCACAGGGATTGTGCAACGAACTTTATTGGAGCTAATAAAGAATTAAAGAAATCTTTTTATACTGTTCAACATGATGAACAGCTACATGATTACATTTTCCTCGGAGAATATTAAGTGGTTCTTTAATCCACCCTCTGCACTTCATTTTGGAAGACGTAGAGAACCTGGGATCAATTCCATGAAACATCATTTAAAAAGATTTTTAGGAACATTTTTTTTAACATACGAGGAATTTTTGACATTAACAACCCAAACTGAACCCTATCTTAATACTAGACCTTTGGTACCAGCTTCAAGTGATTGCAACGACCTGGGGGCCATTAAACCAGGACAGTTCTTAACAGGAGCGGCTTCGAGCGCTCTTCCAGAACCTAACCAAATTCAAGAAATTATAAATTGCAGCGATCGTTGGAGAAACGTGCAAAGGCTATTTCAACACTTCTAGAAGAGATGGAGTAGTGAGTATTTGCAACTCCAAGTTCTGATAAAAAGCATGACCACCTCGAAAGTTCCCACAGAAAGAATATTTCTTAACGAATTCTCGGAAAAATGAACGTGACCAGCAGTCACAAAACAACCTCAAGTTTTTGTTCCACTTATAGTTGTTGGAAGGGAGATACTGCTCCGTTCCTTTTCATCCGCTTATAGGCGCATTTTCTCAGACCACCCTATTTGAGTCCCCAGTTGGAACTGGACAGTTCTCACGGATTTTTCCCAAGCCTGTCTTCATTATATCCAGTTTTCAATTAAGATACTCTCGCCAATCAAAATGCGCTCTTAAAAATTACGGACAAATGAGGATCCTGAAAATCATTCTGACACATCCAGGACAACTTGAACAAAAACATGGAATGCAGTTCCAGAGAGGAGGAGAAGGTGAGAGTGAGTTGCAGTGCATAGAGAGAGAAGAAACCTTCTTTCGTGTATATCAACTCTGTCAAGAGCAAATTTTGTTTCGCTCTGCGAAGAGCAATATTAATATCTCTGCCAAGAGATTCAGTAGGAGGTATACGGGTTCGACGCTACCTTACGGGAGAACATCCAGCTCAGACCGATAACCACTGGCCAAGACAGTCGACTAATTCTAAACAGAACTTTTTCCGCATTTCCATTAACTAATTCTAAACAGAACCTTTCCCGCATCATTCTAAACAGAACTTTTCCCGCATCATCTTGAATTAATTCTAAACAGAACTTTTCCCACATCGCCTGTTTGTGGTTATATTTTTTCCCTCACCCTTCTGTGACAACAATATTTTAAAACTTTATTTATTTTTAAATTTTTTTTTTGCATATAGCCTAGAAAGAACCCAAATAAATTTATTTGCGCTACCCCTTGCCTTGTGATTTCGCTACAGTATCCTGATTTTGATGAGAAAGTTCGAGTGCTCACCACTTCCAATGGTGAAGTTCTTCCAATGGCACTTCCAATGGTGAAGTAGAGAGACCTGTAGCAAAGTTATGTCCTTTGCCATTAGAGACTTTAATTTTCATTTTTCAGGTCTATTCATTTTGATAATTTACAGTTTATTATTTGAACCTTCTTGGGACTTCAAGGCTAGGGGTATGTTTGTTGTTATGCAAATAATATTTCTGTCATTGAACTGAGGAGCGGCGCAGACGCAAATTTGTTAGGGTTTTTATGTGTGCGTTGGAGCTTTAAATTGGGATGGGTTTGGTTTGGTTTATTTAATTACGGCAAAGCACACTAGGGCTATCTGCCTAAGGGGAGGGATGCCTTCGTGGAGGACTTTCTAAGGGAAACTGGCTCGTATACACGTTACACATGGGAAAAAACACGAAAACGCCCATGCAGCCAGCCCGTTCGCGGGATTCGAACCTCGGACCGAACTACCAGCGTTCAGCGACTTTACCGCTCGGCTGCTGGTGGGCTCAAAGAAAGTGGGATGGGAATTTCTGGAGTTCAAACGAGGCAGAGGTTGTTGTAGATGTGCTTCTGAAGCCAGATATTTTCCCGTGTTCTGTCGCCGTTCCTCAGCCAATGTGATGTTTGAACCACCAATAAAGAGATTTGGTCAAGTTTTATGAGTCTGAAATTTCTGAAGTTCAGCTGAGGTAATCGCAGGTCACAATACAATCCACTATTATTGAATGACGAAACAGACAAGGTGAGATATTTTATTTTATTTATTAGCTATTTATCATTAATTAATTAAATCTATTAAATTTTTATTTACCCCTTTGTATTTTATTGAATTTAAATTATAATTATTATTAGCCCAAAGAGGCAATTAGCCTAGAAGGGCTGTTAATTTCGTTTTTGCATTTTGCGATGATTCACTATAAGCGTTGAATTGCTTTTTGAATTGTTGCCACCAAATAGTAGAGCTTTTTATTACATTAAAAGAAATTAAATAATGGAGATTCTGCATAAATGTATGTATGTTTCTCACATTGTGATAAAACAACGGTGCCTAGAGCGATCAAATTTTGAATAACGAACATCTCAACCCGAATATGGGCATTTGGAAGCCCGAATTTGGAATTTATTTTCTTATCTATATCATATTTTGTAAAGCAGTTATGAGCTTCTGATTAAGAAACTCAACGATTTCAAAGCCAGCAATGGCGATACTATAAGAAAAAAATATTTTTATCTTCAGCGCGCGAGACTGTGCAACGGAAATTCTAAAGATACGCTGTTTTAAATATTTTGTGATATTGAAGCTGAATTGAATTTTATGGTTTAATGCGAAGAACATGATATTTAATAAATAAAGGTAACGCAAAAAACGTTAAAAAAGCGCCCCTTTGGGCATAATATAAAATTTAAAAGCTTTCAGATTTTTTTTATTGTTTATTTTATTGATTTATTTTTGTTCGTCTTTCCTGATGGCTTTCCTTTAGGCTCTGACACTTCTAATTTTACAAATGAAGTCCTGGAACATAGCACATTAAGAAGCACATACGAAGATTTGCTGACGTTACCCTATTTTGTTTTTCAAAGAAGTTAATAAATTTGATAACGTTCGTTTCACTTATGCATCATACTTTTCTATTTCTGCGTACATATTACATTGCTACCATAAATCAAAAGTTTCTAATGCTGGCACAGTTATCTTTGTGCCTCGGCTGTACAGCATCTGAGTATTGCTGTGCAGAACATACTTGACTCAATATTAAATTTCTCTTCTTAATTTATTTTACAAATCACCACAGTTCTCTATGAATTTAAATCAAATTATTTCTCTTTTTTTCGTAAAATTTGAGGTTAATTTCTTAAAGATTTTATCCGAGATCTGAATTACTAGGGATTATACAGTAGTGTTTACCTCTTGATTTGAAGCTATACCTAAGCTAATAATTTTAATTCCATGAGAATTTATACGCATTTCATTTTATAAATTTGTCTCTTCATTTTCAATATATGACCTTATATTCTTGTTATATTAACTCTCTTTGAATTAGAACATATGTGCAGAATAATTTCTTCTGATTGGAGAAAGCCCGCATGAATGTGTTTAGAAACGAGGTAACCTTAAAACTGTAAGACCTCAGCTGTAATTGGTGATATTGATAATTAAATACTTCATTGGTTTTAACTAGTCCAAAAGAATTTTCGCTTACGCCTACAGACTGGAAGCTTAACTTAAAATTTAAAATGCTGATAAATTTACTGCGATTCACTTATTTTTCAAACTCTAAGACCTTACCTTGAACAAAGCTTTAATTTTTCCAGTAGTTCATTCGTAAATTTCAAACTGTCTCTGTCCTTTCGCTGTGCTTCATCAACCAAATAATGCAAAAGAGTTATGCGAGGTCTGTTTGCTCGAGTTTCGATTAGTTTCGGTAAAGTTGAAAGTCTAAAGCCAACTGCATTACCTGCATAACTTCCCTGAAAATGAAAGAAAAGGTGTTTTCTTATGAATTATACGAAATTACATTTAAGGATTATTTATACGTGATGTAGTCCTTAAATTATAGCAACTAAAATGCCTTCCAGGGTGCATAACTTTAGATTTAATATGTTTCCTTTTATATTTAGTGCTAAGTAATGTTCAATAAAATAAGTACATAAAAGTTTTTATAGTTATTTTTTTAATGTTAATAATGTTTTGTCATGGTTCTCAATTTAGAACTAACTTAGAATTGCGCATTTCCTTATCGCTCATGAAACCATTAAAGGCATAATTTAAATTCTCGCAATCAAAGTTATCTTTTAATCTTTCTAAACCATACATTATAATAAGCAAATCCTACCGAATAATTTCTCGATGTTAATGCGTTTCATTATTTTATTTTACTCTGAGATAATTACATTTTCAACCTATTATCAGTACATAAAGTTCATCGTTGGTCTAATCAAATGGGAAAATTGTTAATATTACTTCACTGCTGAAGTAACATTTTTATTGAAAACATGCGTACAGTAAACGATAATAGCAAACGAGGAAGAAAAGGAATTATTTTACAAATTTTCCCATTTAATTCCCCGTTTTTTTACGGGACTTCATAATCTTAAGAATGTACTATCTTTATTTGTTTGTATCATCAGGATGTAGGTTTTTATATTTGTTTGCATCTTCAGGATGTAGGTATTTATACTTTGCTGTATGCAACGCAAGATGAAGGTGTTCGTAATCGCTTACCTGAAAAGTTGATGTATCTCGTATCATTCCATCGAGTATACGTATGCGTGCAAACCCGATTAAGTTAGTCTGGGAACTTAGGCATAGCATTCTTTTGAGGGTCTCCGAAGCACAATTTTTAAAGCTTTTATGTAGAATTATAAGATGATTTTTAAGGACTTATAATTTAGAACTTTAAGCCCGATCCCTCTGCACAGTAAAAAAAAAAAAAAAAAAAGTCGCTCTTTACAGGCAAAAGTTTTGTAAAGTTACAGAAATTAAAACGTTACATGAGAATTTCCTGAAACGTAAACAGACCGAAATATAACTGTGTTGGAAGCAGACGATTTAAGAGTACACTTACAGGCAAAGACTAAGGTTTCAGTTTCGCGCGCATGAATCAGGTAACCGATTGGAGAGCGGGGGGGGGGGATCTCAGCCAATCTGGAGAAAACAACGATAATTGTTTTAAAGATAGTAACAGATATATACATGGCTGCCTGCGTGTTTGTAACGTTCCTGAGCGGTAAGACTTTCCTGACTAGGTGCAACTTCGTTATTCCATATATTTTAGTATATTAATATCAACAGGGAAAAAGTGAAAACGACCTAAAATATTATATCAATAGGGAAAAAGTGAAAACGACCTAAAATATTTTTCTAGCAATACGTTAACCCATTTATACCTAGCACTCTATTAATGGAACGGTAGTTGTAAAAAACAGCATATTGCATTTTATTCCCAAAAATATCATTTCATTAATGTTTTGTAAATTACAAGTTTTATTATATTCTGTAACTGTCATTGCATATTTATAATGTTTTAAACATATAATATGATATGAAAATCATAAAATAAGTCCTTTTAAAAACAAATTGTGACAATGTGGAATTTAAAACCATTCTGCATGTGTATGTCTGTATTAAAAATTAATTAATAATAATTAAGTGTTAATTAATGAATGAATTAATTAATTAATAATTTTTAATAAAACATTAATTTTAGAATTAACAATATAACAAGAATGTCAATACAAGCCACTTTTTTACAAATTCCTCCATAATTACATGCGTCCCTTTAAGCAAATAGCTTTACATGCTTTGCCATGTTCCACCAAACCAAATAATAAAAAATATGCAACAAATTGTGCTTTAAGTTAATACAGAAAATAAAATTCTGTGCATTTGTAAGCTACATTAGTTCACTTAAAGCTTATAATTTGTTATCCAATGTTTTGCTCATCAAAACTAACATGACATATACACAAATATTGATTTTTTAAAATTATTTTAGGTGAGCCAAATCTACACTCATGTCCATAAATTAAGGATAATACGGAGTCACGCGGAAATCGAACTCTAAAATAAATATATCACCTGTAAAATCACTACACACATCCTCAAGAATCATATGCAAATTTCATGAAGTAACCAGATGACACCGATGGTACGTCACAATGACGATAGTGTAAGAGAGTGATATGTAAGGAATACAAGCAAAGAAGTAAAATTGTTCGCAGGCGCTTTATAAGCATTTCAGTGCAATAACCGAATAGTTATGACACAAAGGACGCATTTGGATGATTTTTTACGTGGTAGAATTATCGGCCGTCTGGAATGTGGGCGTACCCAACTGGAGGTATCGGACGAACTTGGATTACCCAGAGTGTCATCTCCAGGCTTTGGCAACGATTCCAAGATGATGGTAACGTGAGTAGACGTTACAGCACAGGTCGCCCCAGAGTTACAACGCCGAATGAGGACCGGTATTTGGCAGCTACTGCCAAAAGAAACAGGCGGAGCACAGCCTCAGACCTGTCTCGTCAACTCTCTTCAGCCACTGGTACGACAATTTCAAGGCAGACCGTGTACAGACGCTTAGGGCAGATTGGTCTATATGCTCGTAGACCTGTCAGATGCGTTCCATTTACTGCAACTCACTGTCGCCTGCGGTTAGCCTGGAGTAGGGAGCATGCATTGTGGATACCGTAACAGTGGGCTTGCGTGATCTTTTCCGACGAGTCCAGGTTTAGCTTGCAGTCTGATTCTCGCCGGACTTTCATATGGAGAGCTCCAGGTACCCATTACCACCACGAAAACATCATTGAACGACACCGTTACGGTGGTGCAGGAGTGCTCGTTTGAGGTGGAATTATTCTGGGTTCGAGAACTGACCTGCATGTTCAAATTGGAACCATGACAAGCCAAATCTATCGGGACGTCATTCTGGAACAACACGTGCGTTTGTTTCGGGGCGCCATGGGCGCACAATTTATGTTTATGGATGACAACGCCCGTCCTCACAATGCAAACATCGTAAGCTAATGCCTTCAGTCGGAGGATATGATCTGTATGGACTGGCCAGTATTCTCGACGGACTTGAATCTAGTAGAGCACGTGTGGGACATGCTTGGCCGACGAGTTGCAGCCCGTCAACTGCCTTCTACATGTTTACCGGAACTTCGGAGAGCATTGCTTTTTGAGTGGTGTAATATCCCCCAAGTTCAGATCGATAATTTGATACTCAGTATGCCTAGGCGTTGTACGGACTGTATTGCATCGTCTGGGAGACATACAATGTATTAACAACCATACCAACCATGTAATATTGTTTTTTCGCCGGGACTTAAACCTAGCCTCTCGAATACTCGCTGAGTGCGCTATCATTACACCACAAAGGCATTTTGGAAGGAGGGAGAAAATACCTTATACAATAAGTGAAGGTAATATTTCTTGTTAACAAAATGAAAAGCAATGCTATGAAAGACCTGAAGTTTATTTATAATTTAAGCAAGTTGCAGTTGCAGAATGTCCAGTGTTCCAAAGGACCCCTTTTTAAAAGTATTTATTTTAAAAAAATATCTTAACATAAAATATCCAAACTTTGCAGATGTGGAATATCACTCTTAATTTATTTCGTAGTATTTTTCATGACACTAATAATAATTATTAGTTAAATTTTATGTAGTTTCTGATCTGTGTTTTGATTTTTTAATATTAATTTCATATATAAATTCAAATGTTGTGTTTGATAAAGCAGAAATTCTGCAAAATTTCAAAAAGTACAACAATGCACTGTATCTATTAAGACAAGTGAATTTTTTTAAAGCCAAGAACTGTGAAAAATTAAAATTTTAATTCTAAATGCAAAACGAAGGAATGAATTTGACAATTATCAAATAAACCAAAATGTTGATAATTTTTGCAATTTCGCAGACGAATGTTTATGCTTTTCTGTAAGAAATATGCTATTTGTTTATAAATATTAATTACTACAAATAAATTACTGCAATTTAAATACATAATTTGGCTTAAAAGTTATTCGAACTTAATATTCTAATATATTTTAATTGAGTATATTTCATATATCATAACTCTAAAAATGAACTTAATTTCCATCCTATTTATTGATACAATTTTTTAAAGAAAAATGTCATTTGCTTTCCTTAGATGTTTTTCATGGAGATACATGTCTATATATATGGCGAGATAGAGGTGTTAGCATGTTTACTCAGAGATTTTTTACCCTTTTCTATTAATTTTATAATACGAAAATCAAGAGGGAAAAATTATTCTATCAATTTAATTTTGAAGGATATGATTACAGTAAGAACATACCAAATAAAACGTATTCAGGGATAAACGATTGGTAACTAATTATTTATTTATAAGAAACCTACTTTACAATAAGAATGCGTTGAAATATTAGCATTTCAGTATCTGATAAGATAATTTCATTCCTGCTTCCTTCTGCTTTTTATTTCACCCACTGGTATTATTGTCCAGTGCTACTCCCTACATCTCAAAGCATTCACTGCTTCTAAAATTGCAGCTTGTGTCATCTTCTGAAGCATGAAAGTCATCACCATTCAGTCTGTTTTATCACATGCAGTAATTTCCCAAACTTTTAAAATGGATTCGTCCACATAGTGATTGTTTTTGCCATGCTAAGAAAGACAAACCTTTGCTTACTACCTGCAAAGGCCATGCTGAACCTTTCCTATCTAAGTGTTGGACTTTATGCCAACCTAATACAAGAAATGACTCATTAAAGTGAAGCAAACACTGAATGTAAAGCAAACACACAGTGAAGCAATCGATATCCACTCCGCAATTTTGCCGCGTCAGCTGCATAGTCAAATTCTCTAATTATTTATATAAGATTTAAGGCCTAAGGAGTAGCAAAGATGACAGCAAGAATGGGAGAAATTCGAGTTATAGAAAAGTAGAAATGAGATAACTTATTAAATGTCGTAATTACGTGGAT